AAAAAAAAAAAAAAAAAAAGTAGTGTTACGTCATCATTTTTGACCAACTTCCCAAAAGAAGGAGGTACTCAATTCGTCTGTATGTTTTTTTTGTTTTATGTGTGTTACGGCATAACACTGCCGCTAGTGGACCGATTTTGATAATTCTTTTTTTCTCCGAAAGGTTATGCTTGCAGGTGGGTCCTATTCTTAAGTTTAAAATACAGTGTAATTTCTAAGCGCTATTTCAGGTCTAGTCTTGAAGAATCATAATAAACTTCCTTACCGTTATTGTAACGACATTGTAAAAGTCTAGATCTGAATTGCAAATTAATCTGTTTGTCACAATTTATTAGTCAGACTTTGTAGATATTGCATAATAAAAACACGTTTAAAATATTCAATGGATTTACATTTTGTTACATAATGGGATAAATCACTTACTTAAGTGAAACAGTAATTGTTTTCACTAATTTTATGTATTTAGAATTGTTATTCATATTAAAAAAAGGTACCAACATTTGTATCAGATTTTCTGAATTCAATTGCAAACTTGTCTTTTATTAGACAGAATAAAAAATGTCACACCAACGATTTTATTTATATACGAAAGTACAAAAAAAACAATCAATCGTTACATTTTATTGTATAGTAAAAAGGTGCATATTTATTTTTAAATTCCCAGTTTTTCTTCAATCATTTTTTTCTCATCTATCGTTTCTTGGCTGTTTATCCTTGGGTAAGAGAGTGCTCAAAGCCGCGCACACTGTAAAAACAATATTTCTATTTATAAAGTAAACAACGCTTTTGTTAATGAAAAAAAAAAACCACAAAGATAAAAGAAGAAAATTAAAAAGTAAGGTTTTGTTATCTGTGTTTCCATTTGTACCAAAGTAACTATGCTATAGTGTGTCTAAATAATTTAGATTAGTTTGACAATTCACTTCAAATTTAGTAGGGATGGCTGTGTAAAATCAGTCATGAATCTTATCGATTTTAGATTTTTATTCTTATAGAAATTGGATTGGATATGCATGTTTGTTTCGTCACTACGATGCCTGTCTATTAAGTACGGCATTTACCTACACACAAATTGAATTCGATACTTCATATGCGTCATTTATCAAACTAATCTAATTTATTTAGACAAACTATATCGTATACTATCTCAACAGGTGAGTTACCAACATAGTAACAAAAATGACAGATAAAAGATTTAAAAAAAAAGTAATTCAAAAGCATCTTACAGAACAGCATAGCAGCAAAGCCGTATAAGGTAGCCGTACAGGAGCGAGCCAAGAAGATGCCGGCTGCGTTCGCACCCACCACTGATCCTAGGCGACCAAACATGAGCACCGCGCCTACCGCCGTACCTCTGCAGTCAGAGTGACAAATGGATTGCGGTTTATTTTAGTTTATTCACTGTTTCGATTGATGTTTTTAAGTCTGGTTAAAAAAACGATTGAAATAGCAATCTACAATAGGATTTATTGCCATTTAGAAGGCGACCCATTAACGTTTGTTCTTAAATTAATACAAAGTATCATTAGATAGGGGATTTTTAAAGAGATGGTAAAACAAACACGTTTTCGTTAACGACTCTGTCCGCGTGGAACAAAATAAAAATAACCTCTGTGTTCTTCCAGACTTTGCTGTTAATCTGTGCCTTTCATCGAGATCTATTCAGCAGTCTGAGTAACAAACTCTTATTAGTAATAAATAAGATAAGTCGTCATTTTTCTGTCTATTTTCCACGCGATGTATTTATTTTTAATTCAGTTACTAATACATAAAACAACACTGCGTAGTTTTCTTTATTTAAATAGCGATTTTTGTATCATATTTTGTATACATTTCACTTATCGTGTTTTGTCGAAATGGCTAATACGCATAGATTACAGCCATCTCTGCGACTAGGGTTTCCCCACATATAGCAAACATTAGTTTATATTTGTTTAATATTAATTGTAGTATATTACAATCAACAGTAAACATTATGCTATCACAAACACGTTTACATGTCAACTGTTATTTAATGAGATTTACAAAATATATTAAAAATATTACAAAGTAACCGTGTATTTTTGACCGACTTCCCAAAAGAAGGAGGTACTCAATTCATCTGTATGTTTTTTTTTATTCTTTTTTTATCCGAAAGGTAATGCTTGCAGGTGGGTCCCATTTTTTTGGTTGATTTTTTTATTCTGTTATCATACCTCAAATTGGTAGGGAAGAGATGGACGGCGTAAGCGGTGAGCGGGCCCAAACCGAGCGCGGTAATTTGCAGCGCGGACATTGATATGCCAGCTACCAACCTGACAAACAAAATTAAACACCACTGATGAAATAGTTGGATGAAAAAAGTATTAACTAACTCTGTTGAAAATATAATTAGACTTTCTAAATAGGTAACAATTCAGAAGCAAAACATTATTTAAAACCTCTTTGTTCAATTTAAATACAGCTTTATAACCCCAAGAAAAAGATTATTTATTTACAACTATGTTTCCCCGCGTCTCCATTTGCATGAAATTAAAAAAGTAACAAGTCAATGTGTTTCAGACTATGTTTGTACATCTATGACAAATTTAATTGAAATGTGTTGAGCACTTTAGGCAACAAACTCGAACAAACTCCATCTATCAAAACTTTTTGGCATTTATAATTAGTGAAACAACAATAAATATATGACCAACAAGTTAAAACAAAAGAATTAATAGAGAAATATGAATACCTATTAGTGGTCAACTCAGCATTAATGCAGGCTGCACCAACGAGCAGGAACATAATGATAAGCTGAGCCTTCTTGGAGACAGGAGTGAGGCTGAGCAGCAGAACCAGCGCGCCGTACACCAGCGTCGCGCACACCATGATCTCGAATGTTCCGCGGGATATTGTAGCGTTGCATCTGGTGCTGGTCTGATAATGATCAAATATTAGATTATTTATAAGAAAAAATCAATAATAGTTTATTTAAAAGAATAGGCAATACAAATGGACAAATAAGGGCTCAAGCTCACCAAATACTTTCGTAAAAGAAAGTTATGTTACAGACATATTTCTTAGATTAGCTTTTCATTATATTCTTAATGAACTACTTATAAAAGAAAACTGACAAAATAAACGGACATAATTTTTTAAATCATCTCTTGTATAAATATTATAATATACCGTATTAACATGTAGATTGATAACTTCACAAATGGTGCCGTAAGCGGTGTTCGATGGCTTCAGAAGTTTGTTGATGGTGTCCGGCGTGAACAAGTAAAGACCGTTCAGTCTGAAACATTAAGTTTACGTTCTTGTTTCAAACCTTTACTACCTTCGCTCGCGACTCCGTCCGCTTGGAATTAAAAAACCAAAAGGACAACATCTACACCAAATTTCATCAAAATCAGTTCAGCCGTTTAGGCTACAAACTCTAACAAACATCCATCCATCTAAACTATCGCATTTATAATATTAGTATGAAGTATGTTGGGATGACATTTTGAAACTTTCGACTACTACATAAGTAGCCAACACTTTTCAACACAAGTAATTAATAATAATTAAAATAAAATAACACTTTTCAACACAACTAATTATTATTAATTACTTGTGTTAAGAAGTGTTGGCTTAGTAGAACCAACATAAGTACTTATACTTAATTCGATTCTGACCGCAGTAGGTTAAGTGTACTTACAAAGAGAGCAAGCCGAACATAAGAAAGCCGAGTAGTGCAAGCCATTGGAGATGTGGAGGACGTAACAATGATAATACGGAGCTTTTGTTCTGTATAATTTCTACTATCTCCTTTCCGCTGTCGTCAACTGATTGCTTCAAAGCAGTTACCTAGAAATATTGATAAAACTATATTTAGTTTGGTTACCAATATAACACATATGAATATCACAGAGTAGTTATAAACGAAACATAAAATTATATACACTGAAGATATGCAGATTGATTATTTATTTTCCGTTTCATATTCTACAAATGAAAGTCTTATTCCCGGTAAGTGAATGACACGCAGATCTAAAATATTGATGCGAGAAACTGCAAGCTATTATAAAGTTTGGATAACACTTACACCGAAACTTTCTTTGTCGCAACCAGTGTTGACTGCATAAATGTACTTCAACACATCCAACGCCTCGTCATACTTGTGCTTG